TTACAAAACCAAGCCCACATCTGTCCTTTTTAGAGTCTTCTCTGACTTTCCCTGCTCATTGTGGTTTGTTTTTATTGCTTATAACAATGGCTGTTACACTTTACATTTTTAATTAACTTATATTTTTATGTTTGTATATATTTATCTATTTGTTGAGAAAGGGTCTCTCTCTGTCACCCAGACTATAGTGCAGTAGTGCCATCATGGCTTACTGCTTCCTGGGCTCAAGCTATTCTCCCACTTCAGCCTTCCAAGTAGCTAGGACAACATGTACCACCATACCTGGCTAATTTTTTTTTTTAAGTTTATTTTTTGTAGAGACATGTCTCACTATGTTGCACAGGCTGGTCTCAAACTCTTGGGCTCAAGTGATCCTCCCATATCAGCCTCCTTGTGTGCTGGGATTACAGGTGGGCCACCACGTCCAGACTTTAACATTTTATTTTTTAGCACAGAATAGGTCAGTTTTTTACCCTCTGCTGAAGTTCCATGCTGACTCTTAGTTAAAACAAGCCTTTGGTTGAGAGAAGAGCTAGTGATGTCCTAGCACCCGACCTAGCTTTCCCTTGCCTTCTGGGATGTCCTGAAGACATCATAGGGTTTCATGAAGTACAGTTGGGGAACCAGTGATGTCTGTCATGTACCAAACACGCATCTTTACAAAGCAGTGTGTAGTATCTTTTTTTGTCAACATATTTTCCTTCTCCTAATGCACTAAACTTCTCTGGAGTTTAGAAAACAAATTTATAGAATTGAGGAAATGCACCCTCCTGACCATGGTATCTAGTATATATATAGTGACTTACAGATAATAGATGTTCACATATGTTTATTTCTTTGATTGATTTTTGAAAAGTTTTTTAAATTTTTAAGAAATTTTTTATGGGGGTCTTACCCTATCGCTGAGGTTGGAGTGCATCCATGGATTTTGGTTTCCTCAGTGGGTATTAGAACCAATTCCCCATAGATACTGAAGGACAACTGTAGTACATGTTGGAATAATTTATTTTCAAGTGGATCATTGGGAGAACACTGTTATTTTGGAAACATAGCCTCCTAAGTTCTGTTCCATCAGTCCCTTTCACCTCCACTGCATTATAGCAGCCTGTTTTCATGACTGTCATCACTTGGAACTGCTTCTCTTCCAGAATGCTTTCTAAGATCTACTGTTACACAGCTATCTTAACCTTTACTCTTTTATTCTCTTCTTGTCCCTCACAGCACTCTCTGCTTCTCTAGCTCTTAAACTCTGTCTACTCCTGTCCAGTCTGCTGAGTGTGACAGGAATAAGACCCACTGGGGGGCTGGTTAGGAATGTAGGGTTTCTAACTCTTCCTGGACCCTCAAGAGAACTCAGCAGACCATTGTTTTGTCTTTCCTTAAACCTATTGGGCCGGGCGTAGTGGCTCATGCCTGTAATCCCAGCACTTTCAGAGGCCGAGGCGGGTGGATCATAAGGTTAGGAATTCGAGATCAGCTTGACCAGCATGGTAAAACTCCATCTTTACTAAAAATGCAAATATTAGCTGGGCTTGGTGGTGTGTACCTGTAATCTCTGCTACTCAGGTGGCTGAGACAGCAGAATCACTTGAACCCGGGAGGTGGGGATTGCGCCACTGCACTCTAGCCTGAGTGACAAAGTGAGTCTCCATCTCAAAATATATATACATTTCTAAAACCTTAATGACCACTCCTTCCAGTCCCTCACCAATTTTGCTTTATTCATGGCAGAGGCTCTTTCTTCCTGCTTGTCAGTACAAAGAAGCAGGTTCTTAATCTGGATCTTGGATTCTCAAAGAATTTGTGTAGAGAATTCAGGGCATTGATGACCTTGTATAAAGAGAAGTTTACATCTTTGTTTACACTAACTTTTGAGAATTTAGCTTTTTTTTTTCCCTTAGAAATATAGGCCACAAGTGACTAGTGTTAGTTTTGAGACAGGATCTTGCTTTGTTGCCCAGGCAGGAGTGTAGTGGTACAGTCTTGGCTTATTGCAACCTCCACCTCCCAGGTTCAAGCAATTCTCCTGCCTCAGTCTCCTGAGTAGTTGGGATTACAGACATGTGCTGCCACGCCCAGCTAATTTTTGTATTTTTAGTAGTGAGACAGGGTTTCACCATGTTGGCCTGGCTGTTCACCAACTCCTGACCTCAAGTGATCCACACTCTTTGGCCTCCAAAGTGCTGGAATTACAGGCGTGAGCCACCACTCCAGGCCTCAAGTTACTATTTTCAGGAACAGAATCTTGCTATGTTATCCACTCTGGCCTTGAATTCCTGGGCTCAGGCAGTCCTCCCACCTCAGCCTTCTAAGTAGCTGGAATTATAGGTATGTGCTACTGTACCCTGCTTCAGATTATTATTTATGCTCATGACTTGTTTAAATTTATAGTAGTTATTAAACACCTGTTATTAGATCTTAATATTTAATGCTTTAATTAAAAAGCATATATGCGGCCGGGCGCGGTGGCTCAAGCCTGTAATCCCAGCACTTTGGGAGGCCGAGGCAGGTGGATCACGAGGTCAAGAGATCGAGACCATCCTGGTCAACATGGTGAAACCCCGTCTCTACTTAAAAAAAAAAAAAAAAATACAAAACATTAGCTGGGCATGGTGGCGCGTGCCTGTAATCCCAGCTACTCAGGAGGCTGAGGCAGGAGAATTGCCTGAACCCAGGAGGCAGAGGTTGCAGTGAGCCGAGATCGCGCCATTGCACTCCAGCCTGGGTAACAAGTGAAACTCCGTCTCAAAAAAAAAAAAAAAAAAAAAAAAAAAAAAAGCATATATTACTATGCCAACAGATTTTTTTAGTTTTTGATAATTGCATTTCAGTGTAATTTTTCTCTTTTGATTTCCTATGTATTTTATGAATTTAAATACATTCTGAATATGATTCCATAGTGTTCCCTAAAATGTTGAAGGGGCCCATGGATTAAGAAAAAGACTAAGAACCTAATCTAGAGGCTTCCTGTGCCCCATCTTCCACAGTCCCTTTTGTCATTATACTCCTAACCCACTCCAACCTGAGGAGTGTGACTCCACTTGAGCCCTTGGTTTTGTTGTTCCTATCCATACATTCTATACCCTTACTGTGTTTCTTATCCCCAACTTGTTTATTTATGTTATTCTTCAATGTTACAGTCTTTTTTTTTTTTTTTTTTTTGAGACAGAGTCTTGCTCTGCCACCAGGTGCCAGGCTGGAGTGCAGTGACGTGATCTTGGCTCACTGCAACGTCCGCCTCCCGGGTTCAAGCAATTCTACTGTCTCAGCCTCCTGAGTAGCCGAGACTACAAGCACTCGCCACCACACCCAGCTAATTTTTGTATTTTTTAGTAGAGATGGGGTTTCACCATGTTGGCCAGGTTGGTCTCGATCTCTTGACCTTGTGATCCGCCCACCTCGGCCTCCCAAAGTGCTGGGATTACAGGCTTGAGCCACCGCGCCTGGCTTCTTCAGTATTATAGTCTTTAAGACATGGCGTAATATGTACTTGTAGTGTACAATTCAGTTGGAATGGATAAGTAGGCAATGAAAAGATAATCTCCCCTCTAACCCCATCCCACTTTGCTGGGGAAGCCTGTGGTCTTGTGTACAATTCAGAAAATGTTGATACACATTTTTAATGCCACTCCAGTCTGTTGGAACCATTTTACTTCCCCCTCCTTATTTTCTTCTTGTGTTCTTGAAGACCTAGATCAGCTGCCGCTGATAGACTGCCGTTGTCACTTTAGAAAGCCAGTGTCTTTTGTTCCTTAGAACTTTGTTTTTTTGCCGGGCGTGGTGGCTCAAGCCTGTAATCCCAGCACTTTGGGAGGCCGAGGCGGGTGGATCACGAGGTCAAGAGATCGAGACCATCCTGGTCAACAAGGTGAAACCCCGTCTCTACTAAAAATACAAAAATTAGCTGGGCATGATGGTGCATGCCTGTAGTCCCAGCTACTCGGGAGGCTGAGGCCGGAGAATTGCTTGAACCCAGGAGGCGGAGGTTGCGGTGAGCCGAGATCGTGCCATTGCACTCCAGCCTGGGCAACAACAGCAAAACTCCGTCTCAAAAAAAAAAAAAAAAAAAAAGAACTTTGTTTTTAATTGTATTGTAGCACTCATTGCATTAGATTCTAAAAGATTTGCTTCGTTTCTGTAACTAGTCTGTCACACCCAGGAGCTCCTACAGCAAAAGCTAGGGATGGTATCCTAGTCAAATGTGAATCCCTGCCTCATCCAGACTTATGAGTGCACTGTAGGTACTCAGTAAGTGCTAAAAATGACTGAATACTTCCATAGTTGCCAGATTGCCACCCACTGATACCAATCTATATACTGACACTTCATAGTATATAGATTGGTCCACATATAATATGACACATAATGAGAAACTGTCGTAAAAAGCTGAAAATGCCACAGGAATAGTAATTGATCAAAACAATATGATTTTTTAGATTTATTTGGAATTTCAGTGTTTGAAAAAATCCTGATTTAATTGAGATGAAATGGATAGCTGAGGATTTTGATAACTTTTCTGGAAGCGCATTTGAGGGTTTCTGGTGTTAAATCTGATGGTAATGATTATTTCATCCATTTTTATGTCATTTTATAGTTTTCATACATTTAAGTTTATATTTCTAATGTTTAACACTAGCATTTTAGTTATTGGGCCATTCTGGGCCTTTAAAAAACTCTCAGACAAGTTTGAATGAATTCTCAGAGGTAAAAGAGGAAAGATTACATATCCTGTTTCCTGGCCCAGAAGAGGTTTGTGCATTGGTTTAGACATTTCTTTATGACCACCACCAGGTGGCACCACCAACACATAATGACCAGGTTTCTGCCCAGAATCCGACGGTGTTGAGAGGTGACTGCTGTGGGATTCGCATGGAGGTGGGATACAGGGAGTAACCCACGTTGCCTGCTAGTCTAGAGGCTTTTATAAATTGAAAAACAAATTATTTGTCATTTCATCTGATGATTTTTATGTTTTACCTTTTTTCTTTCTATGCCTGTAGTTCCTTCAGAAACAGGTAACACTTTTCTAATAGTCACTTTGCATTCTTGCATCTTGCTCTTACAATGCTTTTGTTTCTCACCATAGAGAATACTGGAAAATTAATATACTTTGACTTATGGCATTGGTAAAAGCTGCATGCAAATTCCCACAGTTGCCTGTAGATTAGAGCCAGTGGGTTTTTTTTTCTGAACTTAGCAGGAATCCTGGTTACAACACTATTTGATACCAACAATAGTATTTTTAAAATCCAGACTTGCTGGGCATGGTGGCTTATGCCTGTAATCTGAGTGACTTGGGAGGCTGAGGTGAGAGGATTGCTTAAGCCCAGGACTTTAGGGCCGCAGTGATTGTGGCACTGGACTCTAGCATGAGTGACAGAGTAAGACCCTGTCTCTTAAAAAAAAAAAAAAGTTATTCTAAAGAAATAGAAACAAAAATCCAAACTTTTAACCATTGTAAAACAAATCAGAATTTATGATAGTGGACATTGGTAATAGTGCAGAATGGATACCCAGATCTTGCTTCTTCCAGCTAATGATGCAGCGTTGGCCTAACATGTATTACTTGTAGCCAGGGTTTTTCTCAGCATCCGGATGCGATAGCCTCATTTTGGGCTAACTCTCCACTTCTGCACATCTTTCCCTAAGCCCTTTACTCATCTTTAGAAAGAATTACTTTTGGGGAAATTTTTAAATCAAGGAATATCATTCTTTATAGAATCACACTTCTGTATATTCCCCTTCTCCATTTCTGCCTTGAAGACCAGACTGCTAAGTAACCTGTGAATAATTTTTTTAAAGTTTGGTATTGTAAACAGAAGATTTAAGATTAAAATGTAGCATCAAAAAAAATAGGTTTCTTAATAATTTCCTGTTAATACAACCTAAATTCTGGTCAGTGGAATAAAGCCTGGGTCACTAAAGTTATAGACGCTTGCTTGCTTTTCTCCACTGGCTCTTACTTGGGGATCGTTTTAGAAGTTTGTTTAGAATAGTACCATAAAGACATATTTTAAGCTACTTTGTGTGTACATTTGGGATCTTTTGATTTGAAGTCAGCTTGACTCAGTCAAGCTTTTCTAAATATTTTTACACAAACACACAGACACATACACATACTCTGGAGTGAGAAAAAAAATCCATTTATATCATTCTATAAAAACTCTAGCTGCTTAGAGCTTTAATTTCTTGAACCAAAAGTATTATCTTTAATGCTGAACTTCTATCTAAATAAATGCTTTATTCACTTAAATGTGTGCTTTTCAAAAACTAGTATGATTAAAACATTAATAGAGTCTTACATGTAAAATAACAGTTCTGTTGCTTCTTGTAGAAGATAATATGACTGGTTTGGAATTTTCCTGTAGTGTAGTTTTTTTGGTCTAGTTTTGTGAGAATTAAAGGGATTTCAGGGTCCTAGTGTAGGTTATTTGATGTTTTCTTGGAACATTATACATTCTTGAAAATACATAATTTTTTCTGGTGCCATCAGTAGCTTTCAGCAAAGATGAGGTGTTGGTAAGACAGCATTAGTTTCTTAGAATCTCTTAGATTTTCCAAAATTGAGCCATTTCTAGTTAATACTCCATTCCATCTTCACCTGAGTCCTGCTACTCTGGGGAACTCCCCTGGCAAACTCTTGGCTCTTAGAATTGCTAGCAAATGGGAGTAGTGCTGCTGGTGGAGCTGGCAGCTAAGCCCAGAGGTGCACTGATGCTTTTATTCCCTGATGTGCATGTACACACAGCCATGTCCACCCACACCTACTTTGGGATAAGAAGGCGTTAGAATTTTAGCTAGGCTTGAAGTTCCATGCTCAAATTTGCTGGCTCAAATGTCTTATTTTGGCATCACTTTGCCCACTGGGGAGACAATGACAGTTACAGAAGCATTGGCAAATAGAAAAATCCCTCTGAAATAACCTCTTTTACAGGAGCATTGTGTGTTTAGCAGTTGATTCGTCCTTTCCTCCTCTTAGTGGCAACTTGCAGTAAGGGAAGGAAACAGTGGCTGGCAGCTTATATTCCTCAGTGGAGCCATATAAGCAGAAGTATTACTCCTTAGCTAGTGGTAGGTGCTACTCTATGGATCCAACCTTTTAAGTGCAAGCCTATATCTACAAATGGCATTGTTGCCCAGTGGGCCTTTATTTAGCTGAGTCTAACTCCCAACTAGTAAAAATTTCCTTTGCCAGACAGCAGTGTGGTCAGCTAAATATGTGGATGCCACATTTGCTCTCATAAGTCAGTACTCTTCAATAACATTAGTAGAAGAGAAGAGGACACAAAGTGAGAATACGTTAATAGGGCTTTCTGAGGACAGGTAATACTGTAGGGCCTGAACTTTGTAGCAGAGCGGTTATATATGAAGAAGTGGATTCTGGGAGGGGATAAACCACTTAGAATGGCTTCACAGAGTTTGCTGGAATATTGAACACTGCATATAGACATGAATATGGAAAGTTAAAAACAAAATCCACATATATTTGGCTGCAGGTACTCTGAAGGTATATCTAATTAGTGCATCCATTACAAAAGAGATATTTTAGGCCAGGCATGGTGGCTCATGCCTGTAATCCCAGCACTGGGAGGCTGAGGTGGGTGGATCACCTGAAGTCAGGAGTTTGAGACCAGTCTGTCCAACATGGTGAAACCCCATCTCTACTAAAAACACAAATATTAGCTGGGTGTGGTGATGAGTACCTGTAATCGCAGCTACTCAGGAGGCTGAGGCAGGAAAATTGCTTGAACCCGGAAGGCAGAGGTTGCAGTGAGCTGACATGGTGCTATTGGACTCCAGCCTGGGCAAAAAAGCAAGACTCTGTCTCAAAAAAGAAAAACAAAAAAAAGAGATTTTAGAAGAATTGATAGAAATTTTCTTGGTCACTTGGCTGAGTAATTACCTATAATGTAATTTAATGAATTATGTCAATACATTAAAATATGCTTCATGTGGCTTAAAATTATATGAGAAGAAAATGCCTTTACAAATAGTCATCTATGATTCTATTTACTAAATTAAATGTGAAAGCATACTTTTACTGAATGTTGCTCTTCATATCAGTTTAGATAGCAGTTTATCTTCACATACATAAGTTTTATGTTTACCTTTATTTTTTATTTTTTGAGATAGAGTCTTGCTCTGTCGCCAGGCTGGAGGGCAATGGCGTGATCTCGGCTCACTGCAACCCCGCCTCCTGGGATCAAGTGATTCCCCTGCCTCAGCCTCTTGAGTAGCTGGGACTATAGGCATGCGCAACCATGCCTGGCTAATTTTTGTATTTTTAGTAGAGATGGGGTTTCACCATATTTTCCGGGATGTTCTCTATCTCTTGAGCTTGTGATCTGTCCGCCTCAGCCTCCCAAAGTGCTGGGATTATAGGTGTGAGCCTGGCCAAGTTTACCTTTATTTTAGTGCATTTGTCTTTTGTTTCCATCAGCCTAAAAAATTATGTTGAATAAATGTTTCTGTTAGATTTTAAGTTAAACAATTATGTGAAATTCACTTTTCATAATTGTTTTTTAACATATGTCTTTGTTGGTCATTCCTGTGTGTGAGTGTAGCTGATTGTCCGATTATATGAACTTTCAACCAAAACCATTCTTTACAGATGCTTTTACTGACTCTGCTATCAGTGCTAAAGTGAATGGCGAACACAAAGAGAAGGACCTGGAGCCCTGGGATGCAGGTGAACTCACAGCCAATGAGGAACTTGAGGCTTTGGAAAATGATGTAGTAAGTAACATCTTTGTAATTAGTGCCAGACTCTGTGGTCAGTGTGGTGTGCATGTGACATCCTATCACTTGGTTGTAATTTCAGTGTGTTTTTATTGTTGTTGTTGAAGTGAGTGTATTTAGAGCAGCGGTTTTGTTGTGTAACTAGAGACTTTCTCCCACGCAATATATAAAGAAAATTGTTTGTTATTTTACTTTTAGTGGTTAAGGAGTACTGCCTGTTCTTGTGGATCCTCATGAATTGCTTCTTTGTGATTAAAATAAATAATAATAAACAACTTAAAAATTAAAATTAGAGGCTAGGCGCAGTGGCTCACTCCTGTAATCCCAGCACTTTGGGAGGCCGAGACGGGCAGACCACCTGAGGATGGGAGTTTGAAATCAGCCTGACCAACATGGAGAAACACTGTCTCTACTAAAAATACAAAATTAGCCAGGTATGGTGGCACATGCCTGTAATCCCAGCTACTCAGGAGGCTGAGGCAGGAGAATAGCTTGAACCTGGGAGGCGGTGGTTGCTGTGAGCCGAGATCGTGCCATTGCACTCCAGCCTGGGCAACAAGGGTGAAACGCCATCAAAAAAAAAAAAAAAAAAATTAGAAATCAGAGGCAATGCTAGTGTGTTATTGCTTTAATACCCTGCCAAATAAGGTAACCTAAGGAAAATGGTGTCTTGTTTGTTGACTTCACCTAGAGTTGAAGTAGGACATTTTAAGCTTCTTGTCTGAAGAAAAGGTTGTCATTATTAAGATAAATAATTAGGTTACATTGGAATTAAAGCATTATATAAATATCTTGGTCTTAAATTGGGATTATTCTCCACAAAATTCTTCTATTTCTAAACTGCCTCTTGTCACATATTAGTTTTGCTTCTCTCTTAATGCCTTATCTGTACTTGAAGTGCTTAGCTGAGTGTGCTGGCACATGTCTGCAGTCACAGTTACTTGAGAGGCTGAGGCAGGAGGATCACTTGAGCCCAGGAGTTGGGAGTCCAGCCCGAGCGACAAAGGAGACCCCTTCTCTAAACAATAAAAATAAAAACACATGCTTACTAAAGACTCTACCTTTAGGATAGAGAGCATAGAGATAAAAGCAAAGTCTTTTGCCAAAAATCAGTGTTAACATAGGTTAATTTGAGTTGAGTGAAGAATCTTCCATTGAGTAGAAACAGAATTTGTAACATATCTGGGTTTGATGTTTAAGGTATAACAGCTTAATAATAACACTCTTCTTTTTCTCAGACAAGAAGCCTAAAATGCCTACTTTGACCTTATGTCTAGTAATAAAACTGGACATACACAGGCAACATGTCATTATTAATTTTCAAACTTTAATGAATCATATATAACCTAATATGATGGTTCTCAAGTCTGTATATTACATCACCTGTATGAAAAATATGGGGAATCGGAGACTTCTTTTACACTATTAGTGAGGTGGATAAATTGATAGAGGCTTTCTGGAGAGAATCTGGCAATGCTCGTTAAAATTAAAAATGCACATACACTTTGTTCCAGCAATTCTACCTATAGTAATTTATTTTTTCCTTCATACATCTATAAGACATGCAAATAATTACATGTAAGGATTTTTTTTTTTTCTTTTAAATTCTGCAGAGACAGGGTTTTGCCGTATTGCCCAGGGCGATCTGGAACTCCTGAGCTCAGGTAATCCACCCACCTCAGCCTCCCAAAGTGCTGGGATTACAGGCATGAGCTATCATGCCCAACTAGGGTTCTTTTTTTGTAGCATTATTTTTCTTTGCGCTTTTTTTTTTTTTTTTTAAGAGATGGAGTCTCGTTCTGTCACCCAGGCTAGAGTCCAGTAGGGCCATATCTTGGCTCCCTGCAACCTCCACCACCTGGGTTCAAGTGATTCTCTTGCCTGAGCTTCCCAGGTAGCTGGGACTACAGGTGTGTACCACCACACCCAGCTAATTTTTGTATTTTTAGTAGAGACAGGTTTCTCTATATGTTGGCCAGGCTAATCTCAAATTCCTGACCTCAGGTAATCTGCCCGTCTCAGCCTCCTGAAGTGCTGGGATTACAGATGTGAGCCACCACACCTGGCCACAACATTATTTCTAATAGTGAAAAATTGGAAGCATCTAAGTATCGATCAGTATAGCATGAGTTAGATTTATGGTGTCACCATTCAATTGAAATACTACATATCTACCAAAAAGAATGGTGTTCCCATATGGAACGATATCTAAGATTTATTTTTAAAAAAAGCGCTTTCACTTAGGCCTGTGGCGCCAGTAGGATGGGCAAATGTCACGGACTTCATACTGCTAGGAAGCTTCGTAGCCACCAACGAGACCAGAAGTGGCATGATAAACAGTACAAGAAAGTCCATTTGGGCACATCCCTGAAGGCCAACCCTTCTGGAGGTGCTTCTCATGCAAAAGGAATTGTGCTGGAAAAAGTAGGAGTTGAAGCCAAATTCTGTCCTTGGGAAGTGTGTCAGAGTCTAGCTGATCAAGAATGGCAAGAAAATCACAGCCTTTTTACCCAATGATGGTTGCTTGAACTCCATTGAGGAAAACAATGAAGTTCTGGTTGCTGGATTTTGTCACAAAGGTCATGCTGTTGGTGATATTCCTGGAGTCCGCTTTAAAGTTGTCAAAGTGGCCAGTGTTTCTCTTTTGGCCCTATACAAAGGCAAGTCCTGAGGAAAGACCAAGATCATAAATTTTAATGGTGAAAACACTGTAGTAATAAATTTTCATATGCCAAAAAAAAAAAATTAAAAATAAGTAAATAAAAGAAAAAGCACATTGCGGAACAGTGGGATTCTATTTGTTTTTTTTTTAAGACTGAGCCTTGCTTTGTCTCCCAGGCTCGAGTACAGTGGTATGATCTCAGCAACCTCTGCCTCTCTGGTTCAAGCGATTCTCCTGCCTCAGCCTCAGCCTCCTGAGTAGCTGGAATTATTTGCACCTGCTACCACAGCTGCCTAATTTTTGTGTTTTTAGTAGAGATGGGGTTTCACCATGTTGGTCAGGCTGGTCTGGAATTCCTGACCTTGTGATTGGCCCACTTTGGCCTCCTAAAGTACTGGGATTACAGGCATGAACCACTGTGCCCAGCCATAATTTTTTTTTTTTTTTAAAGAGCAGTTCATATTCTTACTGCATAGAAGATACCTGAAATTACACCCAAGAACTTCTTTTTTTTTTTGAGACAGAGTTTCACTCATGTTACCCAGGCTGGAGTGCAATGGCGCGATCTCGGCTCACCGCAACCTCCGCCTCCTGGGTTCAGGCAATTCTCCTGCCTCAACCTCCTGAGTAGCTGGGATTACAGGCATGCACCACCATGCCCAGCTAATTTTTTGTATTTTTAGTAGAGATGGGGTTTCACCATGTTGACCAGGATGGTCTCGATCTCTTGACCTCGTGATCCACCCGCCTCGGCCTCCCAAAGTGCTGGGATTACAGGCTTGAGCCACCGCGCCCGGCCGAGAACTTCTTAATAGTAGTTTTTTATGCACAGTGGGATTGGAAGATGATGCTTTTTACTGGATGTCTTTCTATATTGTGTGCTTTTTTTAATGTAGGGCATACATTACTTAAATAATTTTAAAGCCTCCATAAGTAATTGTGATTTCCTGCCCATGTGTTTGGCACAAGGAGTTGCACTGGTGATAGGATTACATTATAGTCTCACCTGGAGTAGCACAGAGGACTGAAGGTTAATAGGTAAACTTTGAGGCAAACCTTAGCATTGAGGTTGCCATCAGCATTTCTTGGATGATGTGTCCGTTCTTCTGGGATGGATTATAGCCTTTACTGGACTTTATACTTTTTACCAGTAAGGCTTTAAAAAAGCCTTGAAAAAACATTAGAGAAGTCATTATCCAGACATTAATATTCATTGGTAAGTGATTATCCACACATTAATATTCTCTGATAAGACATTAATATTCCTGTGGCCCAGTTTGTTCATTCTTTTACTTTAAAGTTTGCAGCCTCAGCTGCTCTGCCTGTGGAGTAGCCATTCTTTTATTCCTTTACTTTCTTAATAAACTTGCTTGCCCCCAGCTCCCCACCAGCAAAAAAAGAATGCAGCCTCTCTTTTGTGAGTGGTGATTTCCTGTAATTCCCTCGTAGAATTGTGGAGTTACCTATGCTGAGGTTATAGGTTAGAGTATTGAGATCCAGGGTTGCCAATTCTGAGGCCTCACAACTGCTAATGGTAAAACCAGCTCTAAAGCCCAGTTCTCATGACTTTGTCCAGGGATTGCCTGTTCACCATTTCATGTTTCCTTCCCATTTGAGCATTCCCAGGAGGAAGGGGAGGTTGCCAGCCATCTAGTCCCATGGTCTCACCTTGGAATCCTTGAATATGGAGGAAAGCGTTGTCTTCTCCCTTCTTTCTCCCACATGTTGGAAATATTTTTGGCTGTTAAAAAGTACCCCTTGTTACATGTGAAATCCATTGTTTAAAAACAGTAAAATAGGGGTGGGGGACAGAGAAAAAAAAAAAAGCAGTAAAATACATACCTCCTGTCCTCCACAGACCTGAGGACCAGTGATCTCAAGAAGGTTACAGGTAAATGCAGTTGTCTCTACCGAAAGATGGCTTTTAGGGGTTAAAGAGAGAACCTTGGTCTGAAGGCTATTTTATGAAGTAACTAAAATGTTCTAAACTTTAAAAATAACTGGTCAAATAATTGCGTTGTATAGTTATTTACCAACTGGAGGGGCTGATAAGTAGAAGAAAAGTTTTTTCCTTAAACATTTTAAAGGAATATTTTTCTATTTTCTAATTAGCTAATTTTGCTCAAGTAGTCTATTAGATTTTTAGTATAGATGTTGGTTATAACTGAATGAAAGAGGATAAATACTTTGTCATTTTGAAAAATGAGCTTCATTTTCTTCTAGTCTAATGGATGGGATCCCAATGATATGTTTCGATATAATGAAGAAAATTATGGTGTAGTGTCTACGTATGATAGCAGCTTATCTTCATATACGTAAGTTTAAAAAGTTTGTTTTTATTTCAGTGCATTTGTCTTTGATTTCCATCAACTTAATTTATGATGTTAAATAAATGTTTTTAAGTTAAACAATTACGTGAAAGAGCTTTTCTCTTATTAGCAAGTGTGATAAATTCTCATTAAAAAGCGGAATAAATGTAGTTTGCCTGTTCCCTATTTTTATGCTCTAAACAAATTTTGGTTTTGTCTTTTAAGTTGCTAAAAAATAGCTAAATTTGCAAGGGCAGAGATTATGGTGAACAGTTTAACCAGTTTTTGAAATATGTTTCTCTAGAGAATAGGTAACAAAAAAAGTTCAAATTTTGATTTATAAATAAACAGATCACTGTAACTTTTACAGTTTTTTTTTTTTGACCTATATTCTAAACTCAACTTTCTTAGTAGTTGATTATGATAGATATATAAACTGTGGCTTTAAACTACTAATTTTGCTTTTCTTTTCCTCATGTTTCAGGGTGCCCTTAGAAAGAGATAACTCAGAAGAATTTTTAAAACGGGAAGCAAGGGCAAACCAGTTAGCCGAGGAAATTGAGTCAAGTGCCCAGTACAAAGCTCGAGTGGCCCTGGAAAATGATGATAGAAGTGAGGAAGAAAAATACACAGCAGTTCAGAGAAATTCCAGTGAACGTGAGGGGCACAGCATAAACACTAGGTATTTAAAGGAAATCATGATGCAGTGTTTTGGATACACAACTCAAGGTCTGTGTGAGACGGTGTATTGTTATTATATTTCCTCTTCCTTTAATGTAGCTTAGGTAGAGAATGCAAGTAGAATTGGTTTAAGATTCTGTTAGAGAAAAGGTTATGGTAATCTTGGAAAATATGCTTTTGAGAGTAAGCTCTGTGTAGTGAAGTGTCGGTATATCATGGTGACCAATCCAAGGTCTTGAAGAGCTTGTTAAAATAGCGATCTGATGGGGGACACGTGTAATGTCACAGCAGTACGATATGATTTGCTTGATTGAAGCCATGTTCAAAGTACTAGGAATATCCAGAGTGAGGAGGAGCTAACATAACCTGTAGAGTCAGAGAAAGCCTCACTGAGGAGGTGACATTTTGTGATAAGATAATAGGGTCTTTGACACTCAGAGAGGAGTTGGGAGAATTTCTCACTTGATGAAAAGCTGTGTACAAGCATGGCTGTGTGAGAAAATTTGTCCAGCTCAGGAAAGGGCTGGTTGCTGCATGTGTCTGGAACACAGGGTCTGTGTCAGGTGCAGCGATGGCAGTTGATAGTAGGAACTGAGGTCATTGAAGAACGTGGTATGTCATGCTAAAAGAGCATCTGGTTGGAAGGAGATGGAATGAATAAACCCTTGGGCATCGAGGACTGGCTGAGACACAGAACAGTGGATTCAAATAGTTCAGCTCTGAGAACTTGGTAACCACCTAGATCAGAGATGAGCCTGAGGCTTATTTGATAACTAAGTGACTTAGTGGATGTACTGGTAAGAGAGATGGGAAACATGGAGCAAGTTTGAGGGGGAAAACAATGACTATTTGGGCAGTTAATTGCATTTGAGGGACTTGTGGGTCTTTCATTTATTCGTAAACTTTTGTTGGGAATTACCTGCTACCTATTTGTTAAAGTAAGAGATGCATCCTGTCTTTAAGGCAGTCAGCTTAGAGTCTGGTGATTTAAATTGACACGTCCAGTGATAGATGTTGACAATGTGAGACTGGCAGTTCAGTTTGGGGTTTCATCAGCATTGCTGATATTGGAGCCATGAAAAACCAAAGAACATCCAGTGAGAGAGGAGATCTCAGAGAAAATAAAGTTGAGAAAGTGAAGGACAAAAAAATGTTGAAGATAGACCAAGATTGATAGTATCAGCCATGGAGAGGTCAAGTGAGATGAGAGTGAGCACACATCCGTTAAACTTCGTGCTTAAGAGCAGAATCTAAGGGAAGGGACAGGCCAGAGGCTAGTAGTCAGGGTAAGATGGAAGAACAGTGGCATCTGGGAGTGAGGCAGTTTGGTTTAGTGTAGAACCTTTTTGTAACAAGCATTCCCTTCTGCCTAGATGACTTTTAGATATGTTTCATTGGCCTGGTACCTTTTAGAATAAAATGATTTAGAGGATCTCTCATTTTCAGGGAAAATAAATATATTCCTCCTGGACAAAGAAATAGAGATGTCATATCCTGGGGAAGTGGGAGACAGAATTCACCGCGTATGGGCCAGCCTGGATCGGGCTCCATGCCATCAAGAGCCACTTCACACACTTCAGATTTCAACCCGAATTCTGGTTCAGACCAAAGAGTAGTTAATGGAGGCAAGTATTTTGACCAGATTTGTCAATATCATTGATCAAATAGTTTTCTAAATACTTAAAACAGTTTACATAACTGCTAAGAATGTGCACTTTAATGACTTGCAGAGTAGTTTTCACTTCAGCATTACTTAAAATTGGCTTTTGTGTCAAGCAAAGTAGTAAAACATTATATACGTTATTGGCATATACATTATTTAGCATGATGAAATACTCATGATATACTAAGATAAAGTGCTGCATTTAACCCAAGATAATCACTTGGCCAAAAACACTCGACATATAAAGAAATTGGAAACTTTGGATAGGTTCTCAATTTTAAAAACATAGATAATAAAATTATTTAGACATAATGTATATGGAAAATTTTAAACTATGTGCAACACTGTGGTTAATATAGATTCATTTTCATTAACTGTTTTTGTATTATGCTTCAAGAAAGGATCTCAGGTAACTTACAAGATATGATCAAGAGTCATGTGAAGAAAGTGACTAGAGAAATGTACTTAAAAAACAACAAAAACAACTCAGTCTAAGGGTGGATGTTACAGTTTAGCAACTTAAGTTAAAGAAACCTGAATTTTTTTTTTTTTTTTTTGAGACGGAGTTTCGCTCTTGTTACCCAGGCTGGAGTACAATGGCACGATCTCGGCTCACCGCAACCTCCGCCTCCTGGGTTCAGGCAATTCTCCTGCCTCAGCCTCCTGAGTAGCTGGGATTATAGGCACGCACCACCACGCCCAGCTAATTTTTTGTATTTTTAGTAGAGACGGGGTTTCACCATGTTGACCAGGATGGTCTCGATCTCTTGACCTCGTGATCCACCCGCCTCGGCCTCCCAAAGTACTGGGATTACAGGCTTGAGCCACCGCGCCCGGCCTGAAACCTGAATTTTTTATTAGGAAGACATTTTTTACTTTACCTGTAAATCTAGATTGAATATATCTTGTAGGTTGTGGACCTTTTCCATAAATCAGGGATACTGAACAACAGTTCTGTAGGTGGTATGGAAATGGCAATAGCAATAATATGTTACTAACTTTGAGAAAAGAGTGGATGTTCAATTTTAGATATTTAAATTTGGAAAGTTAGAAAGATAAAAATAGAGAACACTAAGTTTCCAATTTCATTTGTTTTCCTTGAGTCTTTTCTCCAGAATTCCTCTCCAAATGGACACGCTTGAGTATTTTCTGTACTTAATATTGGGGGTGAAATTTCTTTGCTCACTGAGGAAAGATTTTAGTTGTTCATAAACAGAATTTTAAAGTTAAAAAACCTGAAGGGGCTGGACAATGTATGATACTCAAGTGTGTGGAACCCTATGGAGAGGAGACCTGGACTGTTTGATAAGATTAAGGTAAGTGATATGTAATGTTAAATACTAGCTGTATCTTTACCTGGGCATATCCATCAGTATAGATTTATTTGGTGATGACTGCCTTGTAATTGCAGTATTTACTAAGCAGTCGCTTAGATAAGTGTTCAACTGTATAAATTATTTAGAAGGTCTCCCTTTTTCTAGTTTAATGAGATCAAGACTTTTTTGAAAGAGCAATGAATATTAGCATTTGATACTCCTGTGACTCTAGAAAAGAGTAATGTTTTATTTCTGCTTAAATGGGACTTGCTTAATGAGATTTCAAACTTAATTTTAGGTTTAAACCTGATGAAAATCAGATGACTATAAGGAACCAGCATTTCTAATTGGATATAATAGCTACTGCTTATTTTCATTATGTTTCAAAGTTAAAACTAATACAGTAAATAATCTTATTCCTGAGTAGGAATTATTATGATTTATTATGTGAAATTATCTAGTGTATGTTATATTCCTTTAAACAACTGATTACTTGAGAAACAGTTATAGAAGCAGGATTAATAGGCAAAGTCTTAACTGTCTTCTTCAGTAGTGTGTGTAGATCCTAATTAACCCTTTGGGAACGTGTATTCATTTAAACAGACTTAATCTTAAGGAGGTTAAAGTAAAATGTGAATTTATGTCAGTTAAGTTATGCTAAAACTTATCACAAATCAAATGACTGTCCTCAAAGGGTTAAAATGTACAAGAAATCATTTTTGTCATTTTACTTTTTTTTCTGTTTACTTTTTTCCCTCATTTTTTTCTTTAGTTTTTATACTTTCCTTCATATCATTTGTTCTGTCAGGTGTTCCCTGGCCATCGCCTTGCCCATCTCCTTCCTCTCGCCCACCTTCTCGCTACCAGTCAGGTCCCAACTCTCTTCCACCTCGGGCAGCCACCCCTACACGGCCGCCCTCCAGGCCCCCCTCGCGGCCATCCAGACCCCCGTCTCACCCCTCTGCTCATGGTTCTCCAGCTCCTGTCTCTACTATGCCTAAACGCATGTCTTCAGAAGGTACAATACCACAATTTGTTCATGTTTTTGTTTGTCTTTAACTCCTATGTGAGTTTATAATTACAAAATAGTTTCCTCTTCATTATTTAATAACCTATAATTTCTGTGTTTTAACTTTAGTTTATTAAAACTATTTCTATTAACCTTTTGTTCATTAGAGAGAAATTTGATAAATGTTGTGTGAAGCTATGAACTATCTGAATCATTGTTAAAAAGAGATTTATCTCTGCCTGGTAATTGTGCTTCTTTACAGCCCGAGAAAGGTCTGCCCCACAGCCTTATTTGCACTGTATGCAGTAGTTAATGATAAACAAATGAACTTTATTCAGCCAGTCTTGAACTAGGGTTCATTTTACAGCTACTTGGCCAAGGTCTTAGTGAACCTTCCTATTGGCTGTAAGAAGGAATGGTGTTTTCTGGGTCCTTTTTGAGAGAGACAGCCCATATAGCTGCCTTCGTGTGTCTGCCCTTAGATTAAAGTAGTTTGATTTTTAGAATGCCTGAGGAATTCTAAATTTTAACTGAGTAATTTTTTTAAAGTTAGCTTTGCAATATTATATAGTGAAAGGCTGCTTTAATTTGGGAGAAGTCCTTTAAGATAAAATTATTGATAAAAACCACGTATGAATTTGAATATTTAGCTATTTTTTCCCTTCATCAAAAATGAGAATAAAATCTTGTAATTCTTAATTAGCATTAAGAATTGGTGCTAAATCCAATATTGCAACATATCAAATACATGGATATGTTGTAGAAAAGTAACATTCTAATTTAAATGCCATGCATATATTAAAAACCTGTTTTCTGAATTATAATGTCCTCTTGATATTAGTTCCGAATATTTATGTTAAAATTTTAATTTGATTTGTTCATTAAAATTACGACTGATATTGCTTATGTTGGGACAAGTAAAGTTTTCTGCAAAAGTGTGTTTCTCCTGCTTCCCTGGAGAAAAGGAGGCTGCTTTTAAATAAATTGTTACCATCTAAGCAGGCAGGTCATGTGACTTTGACACATGTAACCTTGAAGAGTAAGTTCCACTGATTTTCAAGGTGATTTCTTTACTCAAAAGGGCCTTAATAGTGGTCACTAAATGCAGAGTTTTTTTTTTTTGCAGTCCATCGTTTGAATAAGTGATGTTTATATAATGAGAAAATATTAAATAAGACATGATCATTAATGACTGTGAACATCTTTATTACATTAAGATGTAAGGACTGCTCATGGACTATTCACACAGAAATACTCCTTCTGTGTCGTTCAGAGATGTCGAATATTTCCATTTGAAAATTATAGTGTATAATATTAGCATTCTTATAAAGATCAAATTCATGTTTAAATTCTTCTTGGGAGCAAGCCATGGTGGCTCACACCTGTAATCCCAGCACTTTGGGAGGCTGAGGCAGGCGGATCACCTGAGGTCAGGAGTTTGAGACCAGCCTGGCCAACATGGTGAAACCTTGTCTCTACTAAAAATAGAAAAATTAGCCAGGCATGGTGGTGCTTGCCTGTAATCCCAGCTACTTGGGAGGTCTGAGGCAGGAGAATTGTTTGAACCTGGGAGACGGAGGTTGCAGTGAGCTGAGATTGCACCCCTGCACTTCCAGCCTGAGCTGTGGAGAGAGACAGTATCTCAAAAAAAGAAAAAAGAAACAACAACAACAACAAAAACTTCTACTGGGAACACACGTTAATTTGAAGTTCTAAAGAGTATGGCTGCAGGGTGAGAGTGAGGAGCCTTGGCTTTGACATTAGGAAAGTTTTTCACTTGGTAGTAGCATCAATAGGCTTCTGTGATGAGGGCCATTCTGTCTACTGTTCTTACTTGATAGATTGGTCTAATGTACAGTAGACTGATTTAGAAAGAATAGTCACTAATGGCGTGGCAGAATCAATAATGTAGAATTTGGACAATTGATATAGTGCAGATTTCTTCCCCAAATGTCAATTATATTGGTTTTACAAGTCGTGTGTTAATAGAATTTTCAGCTCACAGCCTGCTAAGCCTAAGAAACTGCTTACTTATAAGATTACTTAAAGTTTACTTAAAGTTCAAAAGTTGATGATTATGATACAAGAGATAAACTAAAATTTTTATGAAATTTAAGAAGACTTTGTACATATATTTTAGTAGTATCGGGTGTATAGAGATTAATAGTCTTCTATTTAAATTTTTTTTCTAATTTTAGAAGTAATATAGAAAATTTGGGGTGGGGAAAGGTAAACTGGAAAGCTAAAAACATTTTATGTAGTCATAATTTCTAGTAGCATTGTATTTCTTTACAAATAAGACATGGGTGAAACAGATTGCTATAGTTCTAAGAGTTGACATCTTACTGTTGTTTTCTTAGCACAAATTTCATCCCTTTCTTTAAAAATAAAGGGAAATAATACAATTTATTTATAAAACTTTGTAGCATTCCACAAAATAATTCTGAAAGAATTAGGATGGCCAAAAAAATATGTATGGTGGTTTTTTTCTGTTTTTAACCAAGGAAAAACTGTAGAGCGAGAGAGTGTGTCTGTGTGTATTGCACGTGTGTGTGTGTGGACGGGTGTGTTTAGCAGAAAAGTAGCACTGAGGAACATCGTGGCATTTATGTAATGTTCACTCTTTCTTCCTTAGGGCCTCCAAGGATGTCCCCAAAGGCCCAGCGACATCCTCGAAATCACAGAGTTTCTGCTGGGAGGGGTTCCATATCCAGTGGCCTAGAATTTGTATCCCACAACCCACCCAGTGAAGCAGCTACTCCTCCAGTAGCAAGGACCAGTCCCTCGGGGGGAACGTGGTCATCAGTGGTCAGTGGGGGTAGGTAACACTTGGGCATAATGACGGTACTCATTTTATCATTATACTAGATTTAAAGAGAGCTGAGCTACAACTCTGTTTGAGGAAGTGTAAGTATATATATATGTATATACATATATATATATATATATAAAATAGTAGAATCACCAGGAATTGGGAAATCCACATTTTTATTCTAGGCTCTGCCACTTATTCATCATATATTAAAGCAAGTCAAACACTAACTCTGAAGTTGAGACTTCTTAGTGAATAAAGTGTTAATAATTCTTGCCTAGTCTTTGTAAGCTTGTGCTGAGATTTCTATAAGGTTCATAAATATGGATATATTATAAAACCATAAAGTTTTATAAAGTACATCTCTAATATGAGGCAAATACAGTATGTAATACTATTTGGAGGGACCATATTTCCTTTTTAGCAGCTTTGTTCATCAGTACATTATCTATAAACATTTACTTTCGGCTTACATTGTAGTGTATTTCTATAGCATCTGTATATGGCACTAATTCCCAACTATATTTCCATAATAAGGAATGTCAAACACAAATGAAGGGTCTAAGTTTTATCTGTGATTAGCATAAGGAATATGCTGACAGTCGGCAGCTATAAAGGTTAGATGTTGTCAAGATTTTACGGTAAGGCTGACTGCTTTTCCTACTTTGCCAATAAATCCTTAATGCTTTGTTTCCATAACTGTGGTGAGCAAGAGCTTACGAAGAATGCTTAAAAAAAACCAAACAACTTAGTCTATTTCAATCAGTCCATAGAACCTTTAAAAGAAAAAAGATGAGCCGGGTGCGGTGGCTCACACCTGTAATCCCGGCACTTCTGGAGGCCGAGGTGGGGTGATGACTTGGGGTTTGGAGTTCAAGACTGGCCTGTCCAACATGGTGAAACCCTGTCTCTACTAAAAATAAAAAATTAGCTGAGCATGGTGGCGCATGCCTGTAATCCCAGCTACTCAGGAGGCTCAGGCAGGGGAATTGCATGAACCCAGGAGGCAGAGGTTGCAGCATGCCAAGATCATGCAATTGCACTCCAGCCTGAGTGAAAGAGGGAAACTCTCTCTCTCAAAAAAAAAAAAAAAAAGGGGAAAAGGAAAAAGATCTTCATGCTTAAGCAAAACAAAACAAAAAACCCCAGCTGTGTTAAATCTGTTTTTAGTTGATAAACACTTCTGCTGAGCTTCATGTGATGTACATTCATGTAATTGTACCATAAATTCCTTTGTACTTTCCGTTTTCTTCCTTGTTCTTCAATTATCTCAAGACTACCAAGAAAACAAAAATTTTTAAAATCTTCTTTAGCCAGCCAGGTGTGGTGGCTCACACATGTAATCCCAGCACTTTGGGAGGCTGAGGCGGGTGGATCACGAGGTCAGGAGTTGAAGACCAGCCTGACCAACATGGTGAAACTTTGTCTCTACTAAAAATACAAAAATTAGCTGGACATCGTGGAACGTTCCTGTAATCCCAGCTATTTGGGAGGCTGAGGCAGGAGAATTGCTTGAACTGGGATCCACGAGGCAGAGGTGCAGTCAGCCAAGATTGTGCCACTGTACTCCAGCCTGGGCTACAGAGTGAGACTCCATCTCAAAAAAAAATATATGTCTTCAGCTGTTCTATTAGTCTTTTGACATTACTCAGATGGTCTGGAAATGAATTTTGAGAATAACATGAATAGAAGTGAGAGAATATAAACATAGTTGTTGGAGATAACACTCAGAATAGCATTATAGATTTGCTCTTTTTACTAATTTGAAAAATGGCAGTTGTTGAATAATACTTTTCTTCTGACGCTTGTGACTTAAAAAAAATAAAAACCCTAAAATGAAGTAATCGAATCATTTTCTCTAAACTTCGAATCTGAGCTTTGCAAATAGGTTTATAATGGTATATGAAACCTGTTAGGCCGGGCGTGGTGGCTCACACCTGTAATCCCAGCACCTTGGGAGGCTGAGGCGGGTGGATCACGAGGTCAGGAGTTCAAGACCAGCCTGACCAACATGGTGAAACCTCTTTTCAACTAAAAATACAAACATTAGCCAGGCATGGTAGCGTGTGCCTGTAATCCCAGCTACTCAAGAGAGGCAGGAGAATCACTTGAACCTGGGAGGTGGAGGTTACAGTGAGTTGAGATCGTGCCACTGCACTTCAGCCTGGGTGACATAGCAAGACTCTGTCTCAGGAAAAAAAAAAAAAAAGAAAAAGAAAAAGAAAGAAACTTACTTGGAAGTCATATGGGATACAAACCCTGCTTTTATTATCTTCCCCATTTGACCTACTTGGGTCTCAGTTTCCTTAATAACTGTGAAGTGGATCTTGATGTTGCTATAAACAATGTATAGGGCTGGGCATGGTGACTCATGCCTGTAATCCCAGCACTTTGGGAGGCGGAGGTAGGCAGATCACCTAAGGTCAGGAGTTTGAGACCAGCCTGGCCAGCATGGTGAAACTCCGTCTCTACTAAAAATAGAAAAATTTAGCTGGGCGTGGCAAGCGCCTATAATCACAGCTATGTCAGAGGCTGTGATTATAGGCAGAAGAATCACTTGAACTCGGAGGTGGAGGTTGTAGTGAGCCAAGATCACGCCACTGCACTCCAGCCTAGGTGACAGAGTAAGACTGTGTCAAAAAAATTAAAAAATAATAATAGAAAAACATAGAGGATTGGCTACAAGCTACCAAAAGGTATTTTAGTATATTATTCGAAAGAGGAAGGAACAAGCCTACTTGTTAGGGATCTCTTCTTCCCACCAATCTTAAAAAAAAAAAAAAAATCAGTTGAACTTTATGTGGAATGTTTTTATCCTGCCTTAGCAATCCAGTTTTCAACTTCATTCAGAATACTGTTTTCAGAATTAATACATTTAGTTAGGAGAGAAAATTATACTTAACGTATTTGTAATTGCTGTTGTTCTTCAGATACTTGTGGTTTTAATTTCTACCAAATTCCTAACACTTTGGAAAAGTAAACAGTAATGGGATAAAGAGTAAGAGCTAGAAAGGACTGTTATACCTAGATCTTCAGAGAAGCCTCTTTGAGGAAGTGACATTTGAACTGAGAATGTAATAAATAAATTTTCCCTTTCTTTTAGTTCCAAGATTATCCCCTAAAACTCACAGACCCAGGTCTCCTAGACAGAACAGTATTGGAAATACCCCCAGTGGGCCAGTTCTTGCTTCTCCCCAAGCTGGTATTATTCCAGCTGAAGCTGTTGCCATGCCTATTCCAGCTGCATCTCCTACACCTGCTAGTCCTGCATCAAACAGAGCTGTTACCCCTTCTGGTGAGGGTACGTAACAAAGGGCTTCTAGATCCATAATTCCATTTATGAAGTTGAATGTTAGAGGTTAACGTTATATGAAAAAATTCTGGGTTATTTTTATTCATAGACAAATATTTTTAACCCACATTTAAAAGTTTATGTAAATTTTGATGTTGCTTAGTACTACTAATTTAATATATATTATGTCTGTTATAAAGGTAACATTCTTGGGTGTTAAATACCTATGTAAATAAAATTACTGCTGTTTCATATGACATCTGCAAAGAAAAAAGGCTCTGTTTAAATGAAAGCATTCTTTTCCAGAAACATTGGAAATCAAAATTATTATTTAGCGTTTTCTTGTTTTGCTTTTCTAACTTCTAACTCTGATTTTTTTTTTTTTTTAATTTGTTTTCTAGCTAAAGATTCCAGGCTTCAAGATCAGAGGCAGAACTCTCCTGCAGGGAATAAAGAAAATATTAAGCCCAATGAAACATCACCTAGCTTCTCAAAAGCTGAAAATAAAGGTTAGAGTGTAAAGAGTCATTAGGCTTAACTGTAGAAATAGGAAGGAGTATGTCTAATTTCATGCCCATACAGAATATTTTTGTTCAACATTTTTCTTACTATTGTGATAGATAAATGTATTGCTTGACAAATTCTAAAATCAAAAATTAATATTTGAAATTATTTTTGATCATATATCTTATTTTAATTTCTATCATCTCATAGTAAAAGAATGTGAAGTTAGAGTTTAAAAAGAAATCGGTATCTAACAGTTCTTAATTTTACAGGTATATCACCAATTGTTTCTGAACATAGAAAACAGATTGATGATTTAAAGAAATTTAAAAATGATTTTAGGGTAAGTGTTATATTAACTGATGAATTTGAGTTTTAAAAAATAGAAATTACTAAAGATGTATCATCAATTTATAAAAATGCCTTATGTAGAAACAGTCAGAAACATCAAACCATATGTATAGAAAGCAGAGCATTCTTAAAGTGTTCTTTGCCTGTCGTTTTAAGTGGGATAACTAAAATCATGAGATATTTTAACAACAATGTATAGGTATCAAATGAGAATATAGTCCTCACATTTGAAACCACCATAGGCACCACCTACTATTTAATGGTCATTTGATTACTTTGTTCAAGGAAGCTAGATTTTAGTAGAGTCAGGCCAAGTCATTAATTATCTAGTGTGGCAAATGGAAGATGTACTGGGCTCTGGTGTTCTGAGGTAGTTGCAGATTTATACTTTGTACACAAATATATTGTGGTCAAAATCTTTCTATAACATTTTTCTGTCTTAGGACATGCTTTGTTTAACATCTCTCCTTGACTACCATTTAATCTTTGCAGAATATTTACTATAATATACTATAGATATCAAGGTAGATTTTGAGACCAACAAAGAAATCTTGAAACTTAGCTTCTTAGAGAGGAAAATCTGATTACCAGCCTTAAAAAAAAAGTAGCTGAATTAAAGGATGAGTGAATCAAAGGCAAAGGCAGCTTTTCTCAGCATGTGTTTTAGCTTTCCAAATGTTAATAATTTTTTTGCTAATAGATTCATTCTTGACTTATTGGTAACATTCAAAGTATTACATACTTTAGCACATGTATCTATTCAGCTTTAATGCTATTAACAGTTTTTAGCTTAAATGTTAATTTGTTGGCTGGGCACAGTGCTCATGCCTGTAATCCCAGCACTTTGGGAGGCAGACATGGGCAGATCACCTAAGGTCAAGAGATCAAGACCAGCCTGGCCAACATGATGAAACCTTGTCTCTACCAAAAATAGAAAAATTAGCTGGGCGTGGTGGCGGGTGCCTGCTACTTGGAAGGCTGAGGCAGGAGAATTGCTTGAACCCAGGAGGCGGAGGTTGCAGCAAGCCGAGATCACGCCACTTCACTCCATCCTGAGTGATAGAGCAAGACTCCATCTCAAAAAAAAGTGTTGTTTTAAATTTGTTAAACAGTAGTTAACCACATACAAATGATACAGAGAACAATGAATATGACCATGTGCCCACTACCCCGCTTAATAAGTCAAGCATTCTAGTACAGTTAAGCTCCTCTTATGTACTTCCTCTTCCTCAGCTGCTTCCCCCTCTTCCCTTTCAAGAGGAAGGGGTTCTTTTCTGTGCAGTCATTTCTGTTTACACTGCATATGAATAGATCCGTGAACAATAGATGATATTTTACATAATCTTAAATTTGCTATAAATGATGTCTTGCTGTAAGTATTCTTGCCCATTTGATTTTGTTCCTCAGCATTATGTTTTTTATATTATTCAGTCCCCTCTTGTACTACACTTGGATTAAATTTAATATCTCATGAAGAAAAAACATTTTTACTTGGAAGCATGTGAATTAGCATATTTTTGTAGCAGCTTTATTGAGATACTATATAAATCAACCATTTAAAATCCATAAATCAGTGGTTTTTAACATATTTACAATGTTGTACAACCATCATTAGTTGATTTTAAAACATACTCTTCACCCCCAAAAGAAATGCCATACCCTTTAGCAGTTGCACCACATTTGCCTGCAGCCCTTTTCTTACCCCTACTCCCAACCTTAAGGAACCATTAATGTACTTTATGTCTCTATGGATGTCTTTATTCTGGGCAAATTCCATTTTATACAAATGGAATAATAAACAATGTGACTTTTCTGACTGGCTTCTTTCACTTAGGGTAGTGTTATAAAGGTTCATCCATGTTGGAGCATGTTGCAGTACTTTGTTTCCTTTAACTGAATATTTCATCATATGGAAAATACCACATTTTGTTTATTCATTCTTCAGTTTGTGGCTATTTGTGGTGTTCTCAGTATTTGACTAATCTGAATAACACTGCCATGAACACGAGTGTGCAGTTTTTTTCTCATCAGATGTTTTCTTTTTGTGTGTGTGACCTACCTAGGAGTTGAATTTCTGGGTCATGTGGCAACTGTGTTTAACCTTTTGAGGAACTACCAAGCTATTTGCCAAGACAACTGCACTATTTTACATTCTTACCAGCAGGGTCTGAGGGTTTCTATTTCTCCACATTCTTACTAACACTTATTTTCTTTCTTTTTCGATTTTAGTCATCCTTGTGGGTTTGAAGTAGTATCTCATTGTGGCTTTAATGTGCAGTTCTTTCATGGCTAATGATGTTGAACATCTTTTGTGTTTATTGGCCATTTATATGTTCTTTGGATTGATGTCTGTTCAAGTCTTTAGCCCATTTAAAAAATTTAGCTGTCTTTTTATTATTGGGTTTTAGCAGTTCTTTATCTATTCTGTGTACAAGTCCCCATTAGATATATGGTTTGCAAATGTTTTCTCCTATTCTGTTGGTTGTCTTTTTACTTTTTCATCCCTTGAAGCACAAAAATTTTTAATTTTGATGAAGTCCAATTTATCTCTTTTTGTTGTTCTTATTTATGCTATTGGTGTCATATCTAAGAAACCACTGCCTAGTCAGTCATTAAGGTTTATTACTCTTTGGTTATTTTTTAAGAATTATATTTAGAGGTATGATCCATTTTGACCAATTTTTTTTTCCTTTGATACAGTCTCACTCTGTTGCCTAGGCTGGAATGCAATGGGTTTGTGTGATCTTTGCTCACAGCAGCCTCAGCCTCCTGGGCTCAATCAAGCCGTAGCTGGTACTACAGGTGTGCACCACCACCTCTTGCTATTAATAACTTTTGTGTTTTTTTGTAGAGACAGAATTTCACCATGTTGTCCAGGCTGCTCTCAAACACTTGGACTCAAGTGATCCATCCACCTCAGCCTCCCAAAGTGAAAAATTGCTTTCACTTTGTACTGCAGACTTGCCTTGAATTCTTTCTTGTGTGAGACCCAAGAGCCCTCTCTTGGGATCTGGATCAGGACCCTTATGAAATAAATTGTTACTAAAAAAAACAGACAGACAGGGTCATAGGAGAGTGACTTGGTGCTCAGCCCATTTTGAGCAATTTTTAAATATAAGGTGGGGCTAAAATTCATTCGTTATATTAATTTTTTATTTCTAATTGACACATAGCCATACATTTGTAACCATTTTTTCTCTAAAAAACAGAATCAAGATTCATTCTTCTGTATGTAGATGTTAGTTGTCCCAGCACCATCTGTTAAAAAGACTATTCTTGGCCAGGCACGGTGGCTCTCATGCCTGTAATCCCAGCACTTTGGGAGTCCCAGGCAGGCAAATCACATAAAGTCAGGAGTTCGAAATCAGTCTCACCAACATGGTGAAACCCCATCTCTACTAAAAATACAAAAATTAGCTGGGCGTGGTGGTGCACACCTGTAGTCCCAGTGCTCCAGTGGCTGAGGCAGGAGATTGGCTTGAACCTGGGAAGTAGAAGTTGCAGTGAGCTGAGATCATGCCACTGCACTCCAGCCTGGGCAAGGGAGTGAGACTCCATCTCAAAAAAAAAGACTGTTCTTTCCGCCACTGAATTATATTCACATGCTTGTTGGAAGTATGTTGACTACAAATGTAAAAGTTTATTAGTGGCCTTTGAATTCTCCTGTGCTGAATCTATATGTCTTATCCTTATACCAGTACCATGAGTTACTGTATTTTAAAAGGCTATACTTTTTCATTTCACTTAGCAGAAAACATTTTAGCTGTCATCACAACTTTCTGTAAACCTTCATTAATGCTTGACTCTTAAATTCCAAGGAGCAACGTAAAAAGTCTATCTCTTTAGGAGTTTTAGCCTTATTACTTTTAGGAGCCTGAATAACCACATGTATTATTAATAAGCCTCTTAGGAATAACTCCTTGATACATAGGGCATACCAGGAAGAATAGAAATGGTTTTTAAAAAATGAGAGTGGGCTGGGCACAGTGGCTCATGCCTGTAATCCCAGCACTTTGGGAGGCTGAAGCAGGCGGATTATTTGAGGTCGGGAGTTTGAGACCAGCCTGGTCAATATGGCAAAACCCCGTCTCTACTAAAAATAGAAAAATTAGCCAGGCGTGGTGGCACATGCCTGTAATTCCAGCTGCTCAGGAGGCTGAGGCAGAAGAATCGCTTGAACCAGGAGGTGGAGGTTGCAGTGATCCACGATCACACCACTCACTGGGTGACGGAGCAAGACTGTCTCAAAGGAAAAAAAAAAAAAAGAGTGAAAAAAAATGTATCCTAGAACTTAAAGTGTATTTTTTTAAAAAGTGAACTTTCTAATTGTTCTCTTCAGATAATATAATGTTATTCTCTTAGTTTTTTTTGCATATTTCCTGTGTACCAGATGCTGTTCTTCATGCTTCTGTGTTAAATCTTCTATTGCCTAACATCCCTTTCAAGCAAGTTCTGTTTGTATCTGCACTACGTATGTTAGGCAACTGAGGCAAAGAGAAGTTAAGTAATTTGCCCAAACTAGTAAATAACAGGCCTGGCCATCTGGTATTTAAGCTTCTAGGAATGCTTGAACAGTAACTAATGCATAGTGCATCCTGCACTATTCAATCAGTGACTCATCAGAGCTCTGTTGATGCAGGACTGGAGGTGGAAATGAAAAAGATAATAAATTTTCTTTGTACCCATTAATCACCTAACTGCCCTCCTCCTCCTCACCACCCTCTCCAGCTTCTGGTAACCACCCTGCTGTCTTAATGTGTTCAATTGTTTTAATTTTTAGTGTCCACAAATGAGTAAGAATATACAAAGTTTAGTTTTCTGTCCCTGGCTTATTTTATTTAACATAATGTCCTCCAGAGCCATCTACAGTGTTGCAAATGACAGGCTCTCATTCTTTTTGATGGCTGAATGGTAATCTATTGTTAATATATACCACATTTCATTTCTCCATTTGTCTGTTGATGGACACATAGGTTGATTCCAAATCTTGGC